AAAATCAATAAAACAAAATCAACATTTTGTTACATTTCTGCACAAAATTTTCTGTAGAAATTTGATAAATAAGAATATTATTCTAAAAATAATACAGCTTTTGAAATTTTCTCGCAAGAGATTTTTATTTTTTTAAATGAATATGAGACATAAATGTCTCTAGTTACAATTTACATTACTTTCTAACAATCATTAAAATGAATATTTAATTAAGGTTTAAGTTTAATGAGTAGTTTAACTTAAAGTATATATAAAATTAATCAAAAATAAATAAGTTTAGCCACATTAAGTTTTCCACCCTTTTTTTCAATAACTGTAAACGTATTCTTTTTAGCGCCTTTGGTGGAAAGCAACTTCCGCTAAATATCGCGCAGAAACTTTTGAAAGCCCCAACCTACCTTAAAGTTTTTTTTGTTTTTTGTTTTGGTCAATGATGATATTTTATAAAACCTGTTGTTTTTTTTTAATCTCAGCGCAGTCATTTCTTTGCTTTTTACATGCGTTGGGTATCATTTTCCAGTAGTAAAGCAAGACAAAATGATGGCAAATCATTATTTTTACAAAGAAGCGTAGTCATGGAGCTTATTCAATTTGTTAAAGACTCTAATTTTTTTAAGTTGCAGCAAAAAATGTACAATGTGGTTTGAACTAATTTCTTAAAGTATATCACTTTTTTTCAAGGAGACTTATTTTTTACTTTTTTGTGACTGACTGTTTCGAAGAAAAAAACAAAAATATTATAGCGGATAAAAGCAGGAATTTACTCTTATTTCTATTTCATATAAAAAATAGGCAACAAAGCATTGTCTTGGACCTGCGATGAAGTTATGCGTAAAGTAGTGATAAACAGTAGAAGGCTTTTGCTAATAAACTAGAACTAGAATCCTTCACTGGCGATGGCCTTTTCCGATAAATGATCCCAGGGCCTTTGGTGCGTTCTGTTGTGCTTCATTTCTAGTCATTACGATGTATAATGTATCCTTTAGAAGTTTAAAGCAAAATGAGCAACATTTTTATGCATGAAAATTTTTTATTCACTAAATATTTAATGACAGAAAAAAGCGAAGGTTTATAAACTTTTATGAAGTCATATTTGTTAAAATACTTTTATAAAATCAAAATTTCCTCATTGTTATCCTGTATAAAAACCGACTTTTTAAAATATAATAATAATATACATTCTACTGTACAAAAAATTCTTCTGATAAAATTCACCGTTTTGTTATAGTCGTATTGATCATAGTTTTAATTTTGATACAGAATTATAATAGCACATGTTTAGAAATTCTCAGAAATACGACTCATATTGTTTTTAAAAATTGGTCCTACCTTGATTTGTGTTTAGAATGCTGATGTTGCAAAAAGCTTTTAAAATCCGATTTTGTTGAAAATATTGTTGGGTGAAACTTTTTAAGTCTTAACTTCTGGTATTGTCAAACTGCCAGTTCCTGTACAGATCCAATGGATTGTCAAACCAGATAAAGTATACAAATATAAACTAATCCAAATTCATCCTTTAAGTACATTACAACATCAAGAACTGCATTGCAAGAATTGAAAATGTCAACAATGACCAGGATTCTTGAAAAAATATCTCGCTTACAAATAAAAAAAAATTCTATATTGTCGCGAAAATTTAGAGTTACAGGATGAAGTATATATATATATATATATATATATATATATATATATATATATATATATATAACTTCAATGACGTTACCCATTGTTATTAGTCTACGTACATTTTACGAATTCATTCAGCACTAGTTGGCTATTTAAAGATCCAACTGGCCATCAGTTGGATATTCAAATATCCAACTGCCTATCGGTTTGATTTTCAAATATCTAACTGTGCATAAAAAGATAAATAAGCAATGATCAAAAGAGATAAAAGTGTTTTAAAATGTATTTCCAATGCACATGAGAAATAATAATTACTCCGAATTTGCCACACTATTGGAATTTATTTCCGATGTACACGGAATTAATTAATTCGCATTTTTCACACCATTAGAATCGTGTTAAAAATGCACTTCCAATGCTCACCAAAATAACAATTCCTCTCAAATTTGCACACTATTAGACTCTTTTCGTCTATAAATTATCCAATATTTATCCGATGGTAAATTTTGAAAGCATCACTTTTTGACACACTTATAAATACATTGTCACCTTGAACCTTAAACCACATCACTTCGAATTTCTGTCACTGAATATTATTTCAGGGGTCCGTTATCTGCAAATCCTCTTAGATTATTCGAGGTTCATCTCTATTCTCATACTTCCTACAACAATTTAATAAATTGACAGCCCTTCAAATTTTGACACCGTTTTTATTGCTGATCTTGATATGGAATATTTTTAAAGCAGGTTCCATATTTTCATCTGTTTTAGCACTACTAGAAGAATTGTCCGAATGGAACTCCATAAGATTCCAACACTTTTCCTCAACAAATCTTCATCTTATATGTAATGATAAATTTCCAAATTTTTATCAAAATTTTGTAATTTTCTTCTGCTTCCAGGTCAAAAGTATTCAAAACACTATATAAACCTCTCTAAATTTACTTTGGATTTAAAAATATTCTTCGTCTTATTTCATGACTGTTCAGTACAGTGGAAAGGTTTGAAATGATATTAGCGCCATGCAGTTCATGCTCACTAGTCCATGAATACAAGGGGTGTTCGATTGGGTTACTGTATAGTGTTACTGTTGGATATCTAAATGGGCTAGATCCTATTGAATTACAGCAAAGTTGGATATATGAATGGGTAAATATTTCTTTGAAGTCCAAAGTGGGGAATTTTTTTTATGCAAGATAAATAATTCGATAGTGTTGAATAGTTTAGAGAAAATATCTCCTTTAGAGAATGTTTTCTATAAACTATTCAACACCATCTCGTTATTTATCCATTGCAGAAAGCACAAAGAAATTCACTTTTTATTAGATACCCACCTCCGCCCCAACCCGGGGTTGAACTCTCGACATACGGAATCTGTCTCCTAGCAATACAGGAACAGCGTGCTAGACCGCTCGAACATCTACGCAAGTCAAAAAACTTGCTTTCGATGCCGATGGAATTCTCGCGCCGCTGTCATACACTACACAATCATTGAGAATGGAAGTAAAAACAGTTATTTGGACATTAGTTTTATTAGAGGGTCGTTACCGATACATATTGTAATGAATTAATTTTATTTATAAAGCACATTTTACAACAACTCTTAAACTAACAAAACTGCCCTAAGTGAAGAAATATTAATATTGAAAGCACAAAGAAATTCACTTTTTTTATCAGGATGCCCACTTCCGCCCCAATCCGGGGTTGAACTCTCGACCTACGGAATCTGTCTTCTAACAGTACAGGAACAGCATGCTAGACCACTCGGCCATCTAGGCAAGTCAAAAAACTTGCTTTCGGTGCTTTGCACTTGTGAAAATATAAATAAAAAAATCCTGTCCCACTCGTGAAATAAATTCCATAATCAACTTCAAAACATTGAATATCCTCTCTCTCTCTCTCTCTCTATATATATATATATAAACTTATTCATTGGTGAACATTCTATGGTCAAATTTCGCTATCAAAGTGAACAGAGACTTCATTCTTCGCTTACTTTAGTTTCTAATGATATTATTAATTAATGATTTTTGACGGCTTTACCAGGTCATCGTCTGGAAGTAAATACCAGAATATTACATCAAAACAACCACACAGACTCATACAAAAGATCAGCTTACGTTACACAAATGATCGTGTTTGTGGAAACCTTTGAAGAAGAATGATGCCACGACTTTTCTGATCAGTTCTACAAATCAATATTAATAATGGTTGTCAACGGTATTTAATCTAAACATTAATGAATCAAAATCTCGGTTACTGAATCTTCTTTCTTTATAGGGAATAAAAACAAAATGAAACGAGAAAAGAAAGAATTAAACTTAAAAATTGATACAAACGATGCAAAGTTTGAAATTTATTTAGGGTTTAATTACTTTGAAAATTGGATCATAGCTAGAGGTCGATCGATAAGGTCGGTCTTAAATGTCATATTATATATACATATACATCCCGTAACAAAATTAACCGTAGAATCGATATGCATAGCGAAAAAAATCAGATTGATAAAAATATAATTCTTATACATATGCAATATCCGTAAATAAATAAAGTACATGCATATCAGTATTTCCAACTTCTGATAATTTTCTTTTTGATTTTTTCAAAATTGGTCAAAATTTCAATCTTTTAATAATAATAAGTCAAAAAGCTCAAATAGAATTGAGAATTTTCTTTTTGACTTTTTAAAATTGGTCAAAAGTTCAATCTTTTAATAAGTCATATAGCTCAGATAGATTTGAGAATATTTCAAAGCTTTACTTCTGAAACAAGGATTAAACATCCTTCCTTTAAAGGATGCAAATGAAGCGCTATAGAAAGCCTACCTTAATTGTGTCATACTTTGTGATACTCGTATCGATAAACCCATTGTATAAAGCTCAGAGACAGAGAACACCTAGCGCAGGTAAAAGAAGCAACGAGTCAATGTCGATCTCATCACTAATGGAAAATAACTATTCAAGTGGATGCACGTTTCTTAACAAAATTCTTTAAAAGCAAACTTTACAGATAAATTTACAGTTGTGTAATTTTTGGATGGATTAAAAGCAGCATTCTTCATGATATTTAACTTTTGTAAAATGTCGTGTGTTACTTGTAGATTGAAGTCTTGTAAACTGTCAGATGTTACTTGCATTCCAATGTGCAAATGGCATGCAAATGTGGAGGTAGGCCCAGTACTGGAAACAAAATGTCAATTAGAAGAAACCAAAACACATTTTGCGCATGAAAAATTACGTAAAACTAGTAAAGGACTTTTAGTGAAAGTGTACTTGGTATGTGTCGTCTCGACGGTGTTGACTGTTGCCTTAACACTTGTGGACATCGTGCTCGATTCCATAAGTATCATTTCTTGTGACACTTCCGGTAACATCATGCTAGGAAACACAAAGAAAATACAAACAACCTTAGGTGTGTTACAATATATAGGAACAACAATCCTGGAGGTCAATTTCTCCAATGACTCTGATATTTTTAAGAGTCTTCACAATACTCTAGAAGGGACAGAACATTATTTAACAGAATACTGCCGGTCTTATGATTCTGACGATCCAATTCTATGTAACACAGTTGGCAAATTAAAACCATCTGATGTCTATAATATACAGTATCTAAAAGTACCGGTTTTTGAAAACCAGTTCTCTGTTATAATAGCATCGACCATTAAAGATACAAGTCAGATGAAGCTCATGGATATTACAAACTATTTGGAGTATAAAGCTGCCGTGGAATCGTGCCATTTCCTTCTTATGGACATGATTGAGTGTGGATTAGCCACTAAAGACTCTACAAGACTTTCTTTAATTGAAAGCTACCATCAAGCCAAGCTTGTATACTTACGTTCCGTAAATAATAGGATGTACAATAAAACCATTCTCAATTCCCTTTGCCATGATTTATCTGGAACAGAAGATTTCTCCTCGTACATTTCCCATGTTGTCTTTGTCAGTAACGATATCCGAAGTCAAGTATATTACTATCAACATAATTTAGTAACAGCTCTAAATAACCAGAAAGCCTTTCATGTAACTAGGATCGTCTGTATCTGTATCCTGTCCTTTTTCGTCTTTGTGATGCTCTTTGTGGTGGTACAGACCATTAGAACATTCAATGCAGGCATTTTTAGCATTGCAGAGGAACTATCTGAAAAGACAATCCTCTTAGAAAAGGAAAAACAAATAACAGAGGAGATTCTATTTCAAATGATCCCAAGGTCAGTTGTCAGTCACCTTAAGACAAAAAAGGGGGTTTGTGCCGAGATGTTCGAATCTGTAACTGTTTACTTTAGTGATGTAGTGGGTTTTACTGCCATATCAGCCAAAATAAGTCCAATGCAGGTAATTTTTTTTCTATATCTGTTTTGCCAAGTATATATATATATATATATATATATATATATATATATATATATATATATATATATATATATATATATATATATATATATATATATATATAATCTTTGAATCTATATAATTATGCACAAACTACACCTCTATCATTTTATTTATTTTAAGACATCAAACTAAAACGTGAAATAAAACAATAATTCACCGTCATAATGTCCAGCGGAGTCAATGAAAGTTTCAAATAGTTTTTTATAAAATTTAGAAAGGTTGACGCGAAGGACTTTAGAATACTTTCTTACACATTACAATCAGATACATGTAACTTATATTTTATTATTTATTGCTATAACGTTTATTTACCTTATCATTACTATAATATTTAAATTTAAGTAAAACATTATCTATTACCAAAATGAAATGAAATTTAATAGCAGGCAAAATGTCTGTATAAATTCTCTCCCCATTAAATTCTTGTAACTTATTCTGTTACATATAACTATTGAATATAAGTAACTTATTTAAATATAAATAACTATTACATACTAGTGACTTATTCTATTACATGAATGTATTACATTCAAGTAACCTATAAGATTGCACATAACTATGAAATGCATTGTATCTTTTTATTTTATAACACTATTACACGTAACTTACTCTATCATATGTAACTGTTATATACACAGACTTATAAATCACATATAATCATAATATGAAAGTACTTATTCTAATTTTATTTCTTTGCACAAAAGATACAAGAAATTTATTCACAGTTAATTTGATGAGGATTACGTTTTATATATATATATATATATATATATATATATATATATATATATATATATATATATATATATATATATATATATATATATATATATATATATATATATATATATATATATAAGGGAATATGTAAATAAAGCCAATGGTTGTAAAATTATATTTCACACACTTAAGTATATTTCACACACTTTAGTGAGGACAGTTGTGTTTTTAGAAAATATAACAAAACAAGGTTATGATTACCCCACCCCTGATAGAGAACTGAAAGAATAAGAAACTATCCGTTGTATAATGCATCCTCTTACCTACATGTATGCAGTTATCATTTGTAGGTTGAACAATAAACTTTGTGGTTTAGCTTGTGTAGAAATTAAAATGCCTGTTCAAATAATCATCAGTCTTTGACTTTTTCTCATTAAAATCAATGCAGTTCTTGAGAAGAGATATTTCATTACTGGGACACGAAACATTGCTGCAGGACATGTTAATTTTAAACCCACTAATAAATTTGTCTGATAATAGATCCTCGTTCTCACGGATGAAAACTTTTACATTAAGGCAAAAAAGACAGCTTATTACAAAGACCTTATATGTACATGTAGTAGACTTATGCAATCAAAGTATCTTAATAGATTTTTCAACGAATAAAAAGTCATTTCAAAAAATTTACGACAACATGCGAAATGAAAATTATCTAAATATTATATTTCAATACATTATTTATTAAATATATATGATAATACTATTACATAAAGTTTCTTTTCTTTTTTCCACTTGATAAAAAATTTAGATTAATTAAGATTATATCGATTAAATTAAAAAAAAAAACTGTAATTTGAATTTTAAACAGTTTCTATCCAATCTTCCATCATATTTTTTTTTATTAAAAGCACACGTCATGTGGCTTTTTTTTTTCTATATTTACAATCGTTGTAGTAGTTTACTATTTCATTGCTCAAGGTTTACATGAATATATAAAAGAACATTCTCAACGAACTGCTTTAGTCAATCTTTAACTTATTTGTTTAAATATAAAGTAAATTAAATGAAATTGCTTAATTACTTTAAGAACCATACACAAATAATCAGTGATGATTAACCGATCTGAACTTATTAATTTTAACCGATCATACAAACACACTGATCATAATACATTGTATAATGGATATGTCAAAGCATTAAAAAGAAAAAAATAACGAATGTCATACTGCTAAAGTATGTTCATGACCTTTATAATTTTATAATTATAATTTTCATTTTCATAAAGGAAAAAAAAGGTCAATATAATGCGCGATTAAAACAGAAAATGATATATATATATATATAAAAAAAATCTATATTAATCAATGTGTCTAATCACTTTCAACCTCGTGTGTTAAAAAATGGCGCTCCAACTTTGTGAATGTAGCATATTTCTTTGACATGGTATTGAAATATAGGTGATAAATGTAAATTTCTCGCCATGATTTACACAGGTTTGACGAGTTTTGTACAGCTTCTATCTATTCATCTTCTCTGCAAATTTCCGATATGTTTGGAAAAATCTAATAGGAAAAAAAAATCTTAATGAAAAAAAAGGTCAATATAATGCGCGATTAAAACAGAAAATGATATATATATATATATAAAATCTATATTAATCAATGTGTCTAATCACTTTCAACCTCGTGTGTTAAAAAATGGCGCTCCAACTTTGTGAATGTAGCATATTTCTTTGACATGGTATTGAAATATAGGTGATAAATGTAAATTTCTCGCCATGATTTACACAGGTTTGACGAGTTTTGTACAGCTTCTATCTATTCATCTTCTCTGCAAATTTCCGATATGTTTGGAAAAATCTAATAGTTGATATTCATAATCTTGCTAAAGCAAGCTCAAACTGATAACGTGAATATTTTGTCACAATATTAAAGAACAGTGAATTTAGTTTTTAAAAGACTGCATGAATTGATATTTTTGTAAGTGGACGGTTTTTTTTTTATTTTGTACAATTAAGAAACCTAACAAGCCTGTGCAGAGCAGAATGTCTGTTAAAAAAGCCGTTCATAAGAGAGTTGTAGATTTTTTTTATTAGGGGATTTACTTCTCTTTGACATTGCTTAAATATCGAAAAAAAAAATACCAGCAGTTAATTGAAAATATCGTTGTCAAGATAACACATCGTAGTACTTCTGCAAAAACGAGGTGTAAACGTATACATGTATTTATAAATGTTAAACAAGACATTTCTCTGATTGAAAGAGAATGCTTCCGTTTTATAAATATTTTCTATACATGATGTCAGTTTTGAATATTTTTAATATTCCTAACAACCAACATGAATTTGATTTACCATATCTATATTGGATTCCAAAACTTCATAAAAATCCTTACAAACAAAGATACATAACGGGTTCCAGTAAATGTTTTACCAAGCATCTTTCTTTACTCCTCACTAAAATATTAACAGCAGTGAAGGAGAAACTTCAGGAGTACTGTGCAACAATATATTCGAGAAGTGGTGTAAATCAGATGTGGATACTTAAACATTCCAAGGAACTTTTGGAAAATTTTAAATCACAAAATTTTACCAAAATCAACAATAAAAACTTACGACTTTTCAACTTTATATACTACCATTCCCCACGATAAATTAAAGTCCAGGCTTTTTGAGATCATTGACAGCTGCTTTTTCAATAAAAATGGAACTCGTAAATTTCCTTACCTTGTCATAGGTCATTTGCAAAATTATTTTGTTAAAAACATTCTGATTGTACACACAAATACTCTGAAGTTGATATTAAAAGGATGCTTGAGTTTCTGATTGACAATATCTATGTGTTTTTGGAGACCAGGTCTTCCAACAATCTATAGGAATTCCCATGGGTACCACTTGCGCCCCGTTATAAGCACACCTATTTTTGTTTTCACATGAAGCAGATTTTGTTCAAAATCTTGTACGTGAAAAGAACAAAACACTTGCTGTTGCCTTCAACTCGACATTTAGATATATCTGCGACGTATTGTCAATTAACAATGGTTATTTCCATTCTTATGTCGATACGATATATCCCAGTGAGCTTGAAATAAAAGATACCACAGAGTCTGACACATCTGTTTCATATTTGGATATTTTACTAGAAAAGGACGTTAATGGTAATCTAACAAACAAGCTTTATGATAAACGTGATGACTTTAACTTTTCAATCGTCAACTCCCCTTACTTATGCAACAATATAACTTCAACACATGCATACGGGATTTATATCTCTCAGTTGATTCGATACGCAAGAGCATGCTCTTTCTAAAACGAGGTAAGTTATTGACAAACAAGTTGATGAAACAAGAATATCAGCAGTCTCGATTAAAGTCGTCATTTCGTAAGTTCTATGGTCGATACAATGACTTTGTCAGCAAATACAAATTATCATTAAGGACATACGCAAGGTACCTTACCCACTGATAATTTTTCGAAATATTCTTAATTAAAGATTATAGTGCCATCAGATGTTCGTAGAAAAAAAAATCAGCATGCATTACCAGGTGGTTTGAAAAGATATTAATTGATGAAAATTCTTGTATAAAAATATACAAAAAATACTAAACATATATTCTAGATGTTTTCTTTATCCCAGTTCGTTTTAGAAGAAGTGTACAATAGCATATATAGACATTAAAATGTAGCACTCAGTTCTTTTAAGTATTGGAACTCTTCAGCTCCAGGGAAAAAGACAATAAAGTTCAAACTACGATGCGTATGTCCTTAAGTCAAATGCTGACTGACGTTTGTCATGCTAATTGCTAGGCTATTATTTTTTTACACACTGAATTGTCGACGGATTTTTCCGTTATTACTCGATCATGACAAGGAGCACACGGCGGGTGTGACCGGTCGGCAGGGGATGCTCACTCCTCCATGGCACCTGATTCACCTCTGATGTTTTAGAGGTCCGTCTTTGCTCTGCTCCAAAATTTGTATTGTTTAATGGACTTTTGAGCTTGAATATTGTTCGTTATCTCCATAGTTTCATCATGATAAATTTTAAACCTCCAAAACATGTTTTCTTCAGAAATATGGCGTAAAAGTGGGTTAAAAAGAATACTTAAAAGACTTTCGAAAAATGAACGTGAATAAGTCTGATATGTTTTTTATTCACGGAAAATCTTAAACGACATATTGAGTAAACTACAAATAAAAATATTAAGCTGAACCGGTGATGATGCTTGATAGAACAACAAGTACTATTAAACTTTGATTGCCACCGTTTCCTAAAATTTAAAGATAGAAATATAAGAATATAGAATATTACTTTTTTTTTAATCTGTTTGATAACAAAATATAATATATCATATCTTTAGAATAGCTAAAATTTATTTTATATTATGACATGGGCAATGTTTGGGTTCTGAATATCAAATCCATAAGACATTAGTTTTATAAATTGATAATGATCATATCTTCATTCTTAACAGGTTTAGAGGCTCGTGTTTTTTGGTGTTTTTTTTTTTCATTTTCTTATTTGAAATAAACAATGTTACAATACATACATATGCATATAAAGTGAACATAATTTTGTCATTGTAATATTTTTCCCCGCTTCACTAATGGAAGGGTAAAACGCAGGGGGGGAGGGGGGTTATTACTTGTCATTTAAATTTTGAAGCAAAGATGACCATCTTTCGCTAGCAGGTGCGGGACTGAGATTTTGATAATGGACATAGTAAATGCTTTGCTTCATGGACATAGGTAAAATATTGAAGGATTTTGATAAATCTGTATAACTTCTATATTTAGCGACAGAACTTACAAAGTTATCTAGAAATTGTTCTACAGTTTAATTTGACATTGCCAGATTAAAATCATATTTCTGCTTTACAGAATGCACATTGATTATAAACTTTACTCAAATTTTATCTTTTAACATGTAGTGTTAAATTTTAAAATCAAGGAAATACTACACTGTACTTAACAACGTACACCGAGGAAATGCGCATTATGCATGTTAGAATCTTTATTTTCTTCTTAAAAACGAAATAAGGAAATTCTCTAAATTTTAATACAAAACTTAAAAAGTTCATTTAAATAAGCTTAGTCTCTATTTCATGTTTAATCTTCTACAGAAACAAGGAAGATCAATTAGATATATGTGAAATCAAATAATAGACTATTTTTCTTATATCATGTTGTACCTGTTATACATGAAATCTTAAGTAGGAAAAGGGCAAATTAGGACATATCTTAACGTGTGCATCATTGTATATCATCATCAAGATATTGAAAGGAAGGTCAATGGATGCGTCTTTTCCCGTTTGTTTCCGATAGAAACATACCATATAATGTTCTACACTATGTTCACTTCATTAAACTGTGATCAGAGTTCAGAATTCTGATAAAATTTGCATATGACTCATTCAATAAATATATTATTATTTAATTTTCAAGTTTTATAAAACATGAGGTTTAGCGTTCCTATTTATAATAAATAATGAATCAACTATCTTGTTTGAAGTCAACATAAAGCAATTTCTAAAGTCGATACAATGACATCGTTTGCAAATACAGACTGTCGTTAGGTCGATTGTTTACTGACGTCTTTCATACAAATTGTTAGGTTATTTTTTCATACCGAATACTGACTACGGATTTCTTCGTTTACCTGATCATGACAAAGGACACATGGCCAGTGTGACAGGTCGACAGGAGACGCTTACACCTCCATGGCACCTGATCCCAATTGATGTCGTCAAATGTCCGTGTTTGATCTGCTCAGAAATTGTATAGTTTCATTGGACATTGCTCATATTTTTTAAATTAGACTATACTCCTATTTCAATCAGATGATAAAGATAAACAAAACACTGGTATTCCAAAGGGCTAAACTGCGTAACACTATACAGAGTAGTAAATGGCATCTGATTTCGCTAATGTTTTCACAGAATAGATAAATGCAATGTACACTTACTTGTGTCTGAATGTACGTTTTGTTTGAAAAGTTTTAACATATGATTATTTCTTTTTTTAAATACCTTTTAATATAACTTATTGTATATGTAACAACAATAGAAAATTGTTTTTCCTGAAACCATTTTTTGTTGAAAAAGTCTTCTTTTTTTAAAAAAGGTCAACACGGGAATTCGTAGTTAGAAAGATGTTTCAATTAGTCATTTAGGACAAAAATCTTTTAATTAATTAAATCTTTTAAAACAATAAAAAGGCTGTAATTTCAAATTGAGACGAAACTTAAACTATTCTGAATACTACAATTTTACTTTGCTGAAACCATAGCAGATTCTTGGGTTAAAACAGGGGTGAAAGTGTTTACACAGGAAAGTAAAATATACTTTAGTTCTTAAACATTGGTTATCTCAAAGAATGTAATTTGGTGTATTGCAGATTCATGTTTGTCATACCTCTGGCCCTGAGGATTGTGGTAAGATCGAAACTTAAAATTCATGAAATATAATTCCGCGGTATGACGATTACTGTTTAATCCACATGTAGGTTACTTATGCTGATTTCTTGGACTGATATTTTATTTCTGAAATGCACATTAGGTATGCTGGACAAATTTTCGCGGAAAATTTGTGAAAACGTAGATAGAGAAGATTAATCCCACTCGGGGAAAAAAAACGTCAACAGTATATAGAAGATTTAAGTCATAGCCAATAAGCATATTGGAGCTGAAGTAGGAATAAAATTGAAACCTAAAAATTACTTTGAAATTCTAAAGGAATGTTTTCACAAGTAAAACGGAAAAATATAATTATTATACTGTCGATTGAACTTATTAAGTGCATGGTTTTTAACTTTAGGGTAAAGAAATACGGTAAGGAGCGTCTACGAATTTTTGAGTAACAAGTAGATTCGTGTGAGCCTTGTTGCCTTTTAACCATATCTGTTTTATTGACTGCTGATGTAATTTCTATCTAAAAAGACAAATAACCATACCCGGATATCGGATGATTCAATCAAAACAGAGAAGGTTTGCAATAGTATCCTAGTTCTCAGAAATGTTGATGCTTATCGATTTTTATTAGACAAGAGGTGACAAACGTTTCATAGCCGGAAATAGAAGATCAGATTTACCATTATTTTAGAATTATCCTTGTTTCTGGTGCTCAAACAGACTTAGATGAACCACCAGAAAATCTTCATTGTTTATCATCAAGGCTATATCAAGGCTTTGCTAAGAAGCATATCTTTTAAAATGCCCTCAAACATATTGTTTTCACTTGAGGAAGATGAATTTAAATATTATTTGTTCTTTGATTTGATATGACAAATACTTTTGATGTCCTATTATAACGATGTTAGTTCTTCAACACATATGATCATAATCAAACGTTTGTGTTTAAAAAATATTTTAAAACGGGCCAGATTGAATCTACTCATTTAAGTTAGCATTCTTATGTTATAAAATTTTCTTCACACTATAATAATTTTCCTCCATCATTTTAAGGTTTAAATTTCTTTTCAGGTCGTGGAATTACTGAATACTATTTACTCCATCTTTGATGTGAGAATAGAAACATATGACGTCTACAAGGTCGAAACTATAGGTGATGCTTATATGGTAGCTAGCGGGGTGCCCAACAGAAACGGTGAAAAGGTGACGATCTTGAAATCTTTCCCTGATTTGATGAGATTAACGTTTATTACATGAAAGTTGACAAAAGTTTATTCTAAATGTAAGACAAAAAAACTACTAGTAAGTAAGTTTTCACCTTGTTTGACATTGTTTAATGGACTTTTGAGCTTGAATACTGTTCATTATTTCCATACATTTCATTGTAATACATGTATGGCAAAAAAGAAAAATCTAATTTGAAAATCGTAATCATAGGTATTTTCTCACCTGATTACGAAGATTCCTTCATTTCATGAAAAAAATCAAATGAATACTCTTAGAGGACGCCGAACTGCTTTGATTACAAAATCAATTTCATATATTTTTCAATTACAACTTGCTAGCGGATGGGCTATCAATTAAACTTAGATATTGAAAAGCAGATCCGGAAAAGATAATGGATTTTTGGTGTTTCTTAACCTTAAACAGGAATACCCTTTAATTTCTTCCCAGCACTTAATGAAAACTTGTATTTTTTCCAGCATGCGGAGGAAATAGCAACTATGGCCATAGATTTGCTAGCCGCAATTAAACAAGTTTTCATTCCAAAAACAGTCGGAAAAGATCACATCCGAATACGGATAGGAATTCATACAGGTAGACATTAAATCACTATACACGTGTAAATAGTTACATGTATCTGCATTTTTGATTTCTGAATAACAGTAAAGAGATCTTTTAAACATGAAAAAAATCTATTGTGTCTAATTTATTTATATACATTTGAAGAATTTAATTTCTTATACTCTATAAATAATTGACAGATTTTGGATTTGAATATGTATATGAATTTAATCGATTTTCAAAATCAGATCCTATCACTATCGAATTACCTCATCATGTTCCTGTTGTCTGTTATTTTCTGTATAATGTCAATCAGTTATTTACATATGTTCGGCTTCCTTTATTAAGTCCCTGTGTGTTTGTTGAGGTTAAAATACCGCGATACTTCTCATTTTTCTGTCCTCAAAGGATTGACTTTCTTTATCAGGACCCTGTATGGCGGGAAAGGTTGGAATGAAAATGCAGAAATACTGTCTTTTTGTTTTATATGTCATCCGGTTACTCTTGAAAGACGACTGGCTAAAAATAAAGAGGAAGACATCGACGCTTTGAATATAAGAAAAAAAAAGGATTTAAGAAGATTTTTAAAATAATCGAATTAGACAAGAAAAAGGCAAAATGCACACCATCTATCTTTCTGTTTTCAAAACACTGAAACTTTCCAGAGTCATAAAAGAATTTGAAACACTACAACAGCTAACCAAGTTTGAAACAATTTGTCTTTGATTGCAGCCTCCTTATTACAATTGTATTTTAAAAGAACTTGGCTTAAATTGCACATTTGGTAATCCAACTTATATTCAACTTCCCTTTCAAGGGATAAATTCTTCAAAATCACGTTTCAGTTTTAAATTACTTTTAACATTCCAGTCAGCAAAAGTGAATATTCGAATTACCGTACCTTTACTGGATTCCAAACCTTTATAAAAATCAAGGTCCAGTAAATGTTCTATTAAGCCTCACAAAAATATTAATTGCTGCGAAAGAGAAACTTCAGACGAACACTACAACATATTCAAGAAATGGTGAAATCAAATGTGGATTCTCAAAAACTGCCAAGAACTCATTGTGAAATCATTTTTTTTTCAAAATCAATAGCATCAAAATGTATGACTTTTCTATAATTTGTACAACCATTTTACATAATGAATTAAAGACTAGTCTTTTTCAAATCATAAACAATTCTTCTTCAATAAAAATGGAATTCAAAAATTTCATATCTTGGGACGGCTCTTCTATAAATTATTTTGTTTAAGGAGTTATGATTCAAAATATAAACTGTAGATAAAAACACTATTGAACACAAAAATATAAATAAAACTGAAAAAAAAATGGTGGGCCCTAAACACACGGACTTTTAAATTGATTTTCAAAAGATCCTGGAATTCTGAAAAATCTATAGTCTTTGAAGGCCAGGTTTTTTTTTTTAAACAACTATTGGGATTTCGATGACTACTCACTGTGCTGCTTTATTTGCCGATCTTATTACATTCTAATGAATCAGAATTAAATCAAAATCTTCCACATGAGAAGAAGAGAAATTTTGTGGTTGCCTCTTATTTAGACATTTAGATATATCAACGACCTTTATTGATAATATTTTCATTTAGTGTCGACTTGATATATCACAGTGAACTCGAAATGAAAGACAACACAGAGTCTGCCACATCTATTCCATATTTGGATGTTTTCTGACTTTACACGTTAATGATCAACTAACAACTAAACTATCTGATAAACGGGATGATTGAAGCATTTCCATTGTCAACATCCCCTTTTTTATGTAGTATTATTCCACTATCACCTGCGGATAGTGTTTATGTTTCCCAACTGATTCGATACGCAAGAACATGTTCTCATTTAATCAATTTAAAGGGTTACTGACAAATAAGTTGATGTTACAGGGATTTCAAAAAATCCCCATTAAAGTAATCATTTTGCAAATTTTAAGGTTGGTATAATGTCTTTGTTTGCAACACAGCCTGATGTATGATTGTTGTTTTTAGTCCCCTACCGGTGAAACCGGAGGGGACTATAGGTTTCCTCTGAGTCTGTCCGTCCGTCTGTCGGTCTGTCCGTCTGTCTGTCCCTCTGTCTGTCTGTCAGTCTGTCCCACTTGGTTTTTCGCACTTTTTTTCTAAACGCTTGCAGATATTGATCTGATTTTTGGCATGTGAGTGTATCTTGATGAGTTACAGATCAAGTTTACATTTCGTTCCGCTTCAGTGCTTTTTGACGGAATTATGGCATTTTCAATTTTTAACGGGAACCAGATTACACTTGCCGGTAGGGGACTAGTATTGCTAATGCAATACTCTCAGAATGCTTGTTTTTTAACAGCAATCGTGAAACCATCGTTTTCATTCTAATTTTTAAGACGGATAACTCCGTTTACTGATCAGTATAAAGGGTTCACGGCAGATGTGACCGGTCGACAGGGAATTCTTACTCCTCTTAGGCACCTGATTCTACCTGGTGTTTCTGGTGTTTCCAGGGGTTAAGTGACGTTGCACTGTTCACGATTGATCATTGTTCATTGTTCGTTATTTTCACCTTTTTCATACCTTACACATATTTGGCTTTCTTTATCAGGTCCCTGTGTGGCTGGAGTAGTTGGGATCAAAATGCCGCGATATTGTCTCTTTGGTGACACCATTAATACCGCTTCCAGAATGGAGTCCACTGGATTACGTATGTCGGCTGAAAAATTAATAAAAACAAGACAAATATTAAGGATGAAATTTCTCTCTTCATTTGTTTACGAGTATCTCCCCCTTGAATATAAAATTTTAGTCATTTTAGTTCTGTATTAGTCGAAAGCCATCGTCTAGAAAAGAGATACTCTGACAATAAAACGTTCGTATAAACTCCAAATATGTAAAAATTCATTTTATCTATTTATGTTTTATGAAAATCTCTCCAAGTGACATATAAAACTTCCATTTGTTTTTATAACATAGATATTTTTTTTCTATATCATAGCAATGAAAATCCACTGCAGTGAAGCCACCTATGACATTTTATTTAATTCCGGACAATTTACATTAGTAGAAAGAGGAGAGGTGGAAATCAAGGTACCTGTTATCTCAGATACTTTATCCTGATTTTAACATACCGGTGTGATATACATGTAATATATGAATATATAATTTATATGATATTTTATCCTGATTTTAACATACCGGCATGATATAATATATGAATATATGAGTTATATGATACTTTATCCTGATTTTAACACACCAGTATGATATAATATATGAATATATGATTAATTTTTGAAAGTACTCTAGAAACCTATTCAGAAACAAGAGGATTACTTTCTCACTTTTTCAATCCTCTTTTTTTTCTGAATAGCGTTTCTAGAGTACTTTCAAGTATTAATTATATATTCATATATTATATCATACCGGTATGTTAAAATGATTCTTTGTGTTTTATCTTCATTACATGTTACACTTTGTATCATTTCAACATGTTCAGATTCTAAATCAACATACATTTCGAGTAATGCATTTTAAAAATTTGTTTTCTTCTAAATTTTAAAAAGGCGCCTTTTTAAAAGAATAAAAGGTTGATATTTGTAAAGAATTCACAACATATCCATTTTTTGAGTTACTAATATGAATCATAATTTTTCATGCAACTAACAATATCAGACTTTATTACGTAGAGTAAATATTGTTTACTATTAGGGAAAGGGAATGATGACGACATACTGGCTGAAAGGCCGAGAAGACATGGATGAAGTGAACGATAGCATGGTCTGTAAGTTCGTACCCCGAAAGAAGAAAATGGGGAATCTAATTTCCGATTCTAGAAGCACCCTAGAGTCAAGAACACATTCATCTATTACTGACAATGCTATTTCATCAGATTTCAAAACATAGCACTTGGAACATGGAAGTTGGGTATTGTCCTCTAATGCAATTTTCAAAATACATTATGGTCGCAGAAAAATGTTCATTTCAACATGAAGAAAAAATCTTGTGCGATTTATCATTGATTTTGTTAAAATAATTGTTATTTGTGCATGTTATTTACGAAATAAACTAATTTAAGGACTTGCTTGATTATTTTAGCTCCAATCATTTTCTATTCTTATTAATATCATAAATACCCATGTATCAAAATAGCTATAAAAGAAATGCAACCAAAAATTATTCATACATTTCAATAAATGTTGCCTTTCAAGATGGGTGAGACAGACGTTATAATTTTATATTAGAGAATATTTGACCTCAACATTGTTTGATATTGACCAGAAAATATCAATACATGTATTAGCTAAGGCAAAGATTACAAATGAATCTTCAACTTGAATTGGCAATTTGAAGACTGAGGTGACGAAAGGAAAATGTCAACAAAAACGAGCCGTATGTAGTACTAGTGAACCAGCCAGGAAAGGTAATAAGCCAGAACTGGACTTAGAAAATCCAGGAAAAGATCGGAGTTTATGTGGAACACTTTAGGGAAGAAATAAGACATCGACTCCTACATGTAATTTCACAATGAAAATCTTTAAGGTTTAGAAACGGATGTAAAGTAGGAAGATGTATCAATATTGAAAATTGATAGCATAACAGAATACGACATTCAAACATATAAATGTATATTGTTCGAGTTGCTGTGCACTTTTCTGTCACAAACCTGAAATGCAAAAACCCATAGGCTAAACATATGTTTTTTAAGTAATATTTTGCTTTGCGAAGAACCACATGATCTGACACAGTGTGTATTAAACCTATGGTTCCACAAAGCCAAAGAAAACAGGTGTGTCAATAGAAATCAATGAAAATTTTGAGATGCATCATCAAAGGAACAGAAATACATCATATGATCGCGAACATATTGGACAGGGGCAAATGAAGACTTCCTCAGGTTAGTACTCTGTATGTCAGAGACTAACCAAGTCCAAAAAAAAAAAAAAACTGGGAAGAACGAAAAGAGGAGTCGTAAAATCTTAGAGCAAAGTAGAAAACCGTCAGTGGTGGGGGTTCTAGAAATTTCGACAAGAAAGAAGATTAAATTGTAGAGGCTGCATTTCAAGACCTCATTTTTATTTTTATAGCGAAAGTAATACACATCAAACATTAAGACCGGGTATCATCGATTCAGAGAGAGAAATCGTTCGTCATACATGCGGCTGTCTGAAAATCTTTATAAGGAAAAAAACAAACCATTTGGGAGGGAAAAAGATTATCATTGAATAATATTGTATTTATTTAGCGTTATCCAACTTTTAAAAATAGCAAGACTCTTAATTATTGGATGAATCCAACATGAAAAAAAATATAATCTATATGCACGCCATGTATACATCACAGCCATTTGATATGTAGTTCAACTCTCTTGCTTCAATTTGAATTACTTGTTCGGTTGGCTCGAGACGACAAAGTCTCTGTATACTAAATTGAAAAAAAAAAGTTTAAAACAATGTTCTTATATCATTTTTGGTACCATATAAGAACTATGAAACTATGACATCATAGACACCATACATGTATATAAGTTACAACTATAGTTTAGTTCAACAAAATCACTGTATGTGGACTTGTTGTTTCCGTACAAAATCATCCGTATGTGGATTTGTATTGTAGTGGAAGGTTGGTCGATAGAGCATGCATATGTAATACAGGTTTTGTCATGAAGTATTTTCTCTGTAATACATTATCGAAGCAAGATATTTGGAGAGACATTCGAACTAAAAAGCAAATCTACGTTACATTAATAATAATTTATCGATTCTGCAGGTTTAATGATGGTAATCGTACATTTTGAACCATATAACATTTGTGTGTATCCTTCGTACAATAGATCACAAAGTTAACCTTCACTTTAAACTTCCCCCATGTTGCCAACCAGAAGAATAAAAATGTTTTCGTTTTATGTAATGTGACATGACATGGTTTATAACTAACTTTGTTATCGTTAAGCCGTAATTGTCTGACAGACTTTGACTGCTGGCTTCCTCCGACACTGCCCTAATGATGATGTTCGGAGGATTTGTGGAAAATTCCCATTTCAATAACTTTAATTGACTTCTGGGCTGAAGTTAATTATACTCACAAAGGGAAGGGATGATTACGTGGACTACTTGTACACACTCTTTATGAAGTGCGCTTTGATCAATTTTTGTACAGATGACGTTTTTCTCATCAGAATATGAAATATTTAATGCCTATTTTCAGATTTTTTTTTTTTTCATTAGCATTAAATGCTGTTGCTACCATGGGTTTACCGAGAAAGCATCACGTAGCTTCTAAAAGAAGGTATTCTGCTTGAGATGGACGTAAAAAATATGTCAAGAACATTTTATATTATGTACTACTTTGATATTATATATAAGATAAAGGAATTTCTGGAATATCAGTTAAGGTCTGACGACACGTTGCTTAAATATCTGTTTTGTATCTCTTCGTAATATACAACAAATCAATCATAATTTTCATTATCTTGAGATTTTTAAACTGTTTTCAAAATTTCTAACTAGATAAAGACACCCAAAATTGTGATATTGGCAATGCTAGTGATATCCAATAGGATTATATAGTAAATAACACCCTCTGGCATCTTGCATAAATGCCTCGTAAGGTATCTTAAATTTTTGTAAGGAAACTTGTTTGAAGTAGCAATACTTCATGAAATTTTTTTGGGAAAAATAATACATTACTGAAGGAACGTGTCGTCTGACCTTAATTGTAAGAATTCCTTTTACTGAGTATATAATACAGCATACGATACAGTTCTAAGATTATATATTGAATCAAATTTAAAAACGATGCTTAGATTCATAATAAAAAGCATATTATTTTAATGCATGTAAATATATTTTTAATAAAAAAAAAACGTTAGTATTATATGTTGTTATTACTGAATATAAACTATTATCGTATTGGGAAGAAAATCCCAAAGACAGCTATAATAACTGACAATCAAAATTGAACTAATTATTAAAATGGTGAGTTAATATCTGAGGCAGATACCTATGTTTTTAACAAGTAAGTTTAAAGTCTAATTATATCATTTTAATATCTCTACATGTACATGTATTGTACTTCAAAAGGATATAGGGGGGAAGAGATGGTCTTGATCCCCGTTTCATATGTAAATTGTTGATCCATGCTGTAAATTAACAATGGTTTTTTGGAAATCAAAATACACAACAATAAACAAAATCTTTACATAAGAGAGAACAGCAGCAGCATTATCTATTATCTTATTCAAAATAATAATCGGGGTAACTTATTATTAAAAATAAATAATTAATTCAATTTTTTCAATCAAATCGTACATTTTATTAATACATGTATAATTGAATTGTTTTTGCTCCTCACATTTTAAATAATTAATGTCTACTTAAAGACAAAACTTATCGGTATCAAGAAAAAAAGAGGAACAAACTTAGATATCAAATAAAAAAAATTAATGGCATTATGTTGTGACTGAACACATCAATTGAGATCGATAGCAGTGGGATTTAAATTAAATTGTATGACTTTGTTGAGATTCACAATGAAAGAAACAGAAATTTGATTGGGAATATTTACATTTGCTGTGTTTTTCTACTTAGCCAACTGTGAAATTGATTTGAAAGTCATTTTTGTGTATACTCACGCGTAGAAATAAACGCTGTGAAACTCGCGCTAAAGTGACGTCACAATGAGGCTACAGAGACGTTAGTAAAAAATGTAATGATATAGGGCAGCAAGAAATTTAAATATTGAGTATATTATTGGTGCTTTTAAACTTGTAAAATGTAAATATAAGGAATGTTTTTAAGTTTAGTGTGAATTATTGGTGTGTAAATCACACAGACTTGCTCGTGGGCATATTTTTCATGAAGCGCTAGCGCGCTTCATGAAATATGCCTACGTGACAAGTCTGAGTGATTTACACACTAATAACTCACACAAAACTTTAAAAACATTCCTTAATTGCCAACATTGGTTGATACAGAAACTGCAGTTTTCATTGAAGAACTTCAAACCTCATCAGAAAGTCAACCTCTCATTCCTTCTTGTATTTACTCGGTTTGACCCGAATGAAAGTGGAGTACTTGATTTTGAATGTGTTGAAAGAATTGGATTTTTTTAAACATTAATTTGGATTTATTGCTTTAGATTTCTTTTTGTTTAATCAAGAACACGCGATCTATCTAAAACAAAGAAGAAAAAATACGGTTGCAATAATGTTGTCAAAGCAAACAGTGGTAACAATAAAGTTTATTTTTCTCCAATCTGTTGGAGGATCACTTCTGCTGAAGTAGTATGATATTTTTGGACTTTATTAAATGTAACATATTTTGAGTTACTATTAATTAATTATTTATTTACAATGCTGACATGGATAAAAAAAATCTTCAAAAAAGCGGTGGAGGTACAATCATGTACACAGTGACAAATCAAACTAGAGGTACTGTGAGGACAGAGCTCACAAATGATACCCCCGATCTCATATGAATATAATGGCAAAGTCTATTTGTTGTTATGGGAAAGCTCAAATATCTGTCCAATCCAAACATAACGTAGGAGGTGCACAATGGCACTATGTGATAAAGATTCTGTGAAAGTATATCATTAAATTTTATCCAGTGGTATGGGAGGAGTTGCAGATAAGAAATGGGTACCTCTGATATTGAAGAAAGAATGGCAGTGTCCACGTTTTGTTACGGGAAACCTGAAATATGTGTCCAGTCAAGAGTAATACAGTGTAATAAACATTTTGTAAAAGAATCATTAAATTTTATTCAGTGGTACAATGTATAAAAGGAGTTGCGGATAAGAGATGGGTACCTCTCAATATTACTAGTATAGAAAAATGACAGTGTCTATGTTTTGCTATGGGAAACCTTAAATATGTGTCCAGTCTAAAAGTAAATAGGATGTCACAATGACATTATGTAATAAAGATTCTGTGGAAGTCTCATTTAATTTTATTCAGTGGTACAAGAGGAGTTGCGGATAAGACATGGGTTTTTAGATATGAGGTGAAATAACTTACTCTCTTTCGCCTTTTAAAAAACATCCAAGAAGTTCAGGTTAGCTACATGTATCTCGGGATTTTTCATTATGCTGTTATGTGAAACAAAGTCGTTATCATCACCACATGATTCGCTGCCTGTTAAATAATCACGTATTTAGGACAAATAAAACATTTTAACTGGGAATGGACAGCATCATTTTCCTGATCTGCCTCTTTTAAAAAATCCATTGGTAACGCTGTATAAGATAAGATAGCATTTATTGATACCAATTTGCTCCCCCTCCCCCCCCCCCCCCCGGTTATACAAGTAAAGGATACACATAAGAAGAAATTCAAAATTGATAGCAGCAACATGTCGATATTAGAAGATACAAAAGCCTATTAGCATCAACTATGGTAAAAAAAATTTAAAAGGCGTAATAACGCCTTTTGAAAAGGCGTTATAACGCGGAAAAAGGCGTAATAATGCAAATAAAGGCGTAATTACGCCTTCCCAAAAGGCGTTATAACGCGAAAAAAGGCGTAATTACGCCTTTCCAAAAGGCATTATTACGCCTTTCCAGAAGGCGTTATTACGCCTTTCCAGAAGGCGTTATTACGCCTTTTAAAAAAGCGTTATTACGCCTTTCTAAAAGGCGTTATTACGCCTTTTCAAAAGGCGTTATTACGCTTTTTTAAAAGGCGTTACTACGCCTTTCTAAAAGGCATTAATACGCCTTTCCAAACGCCGTTATTATGCCTTTTGAAGAGCCATTATTATATCTTTGACAGGCCAATGCTTTTGAAGGGGGAGCCTCCCATAAAGCAAACAAAAAAACAAGAAACAACCGCCCCCCCCCCCCCCCCCGAAAAAAAATAAACTGCCTAAACTTGAGAGGAATCTTTTTCTAACTTTTCGGTAAAACTTTTTTTTAAATGCAATGACTTGCCCGAGTTTAACTATACTGCAAAAAAATGTTAAGGGACTAAGCAATCAATAAATGACTTTTTATATTTTAACTATAGGAAGACTATTCTCCCAAAAAGTGGGGTGAGGGAGCCCCCCCCCCCCTACTCGCATTCGTACTACCGGCCTGTTTGAAAAGGAGTTATATCCAAAAATGGAAAGGCGTTATTTTGAAATAATAAAATAATAAATATATGAAAGATTGAACCAAAGCAATCTTTATTTATGCAATATTTAGATTATAGTTTTAATATTATAATTTATATTCAAAATTATAGTATTTTCTATATTCCTGCACATCTCGCAGACAGCTGTTCGCAAGCGTATTAAGAGAAGTCAACACTCTACTTTTGAAAATCCAGGATATAGGCAGAGCCAGCTTTGGGCTTTGCTAGCCAAGTATTAAAAATTCATGTCAAATTTGAAATATTTCTCTCTCCTCTTGGAAAAAACAGGCAAACTATTTGCATAGGTATAATGTACAATTAGCCTTCAACCAAATTTCTGAAATCCATGCACCTTGGTAGAGGTGTCTGGCATCAGAGAAGGACTAAGTTGGTCTAACATTGAAAATATTTTACACATTTAAAAATTTTTTTCCTGAAAATCTAATTATAATCAGCCCCCAGGGTGGGCTAAGTAAGTCATGTATTGAAAAATAAGAGGCGAAATAACGCCTTTTGGAAAGGCATAATAACGCCTTTTTAAAAGGCGTGATAACGCCTTTTGGAAAGGCGTAATTACGCCTTTATTTGCATTATTACGCCTTTTTCCGCGTTATAACGCCTTTTCAAAAGGCGTTATTACGCCTTTTTTCGCGTTATAACGCCTTTTGAAAAGGAGTTATAATTTTTTTTTTACCGTAGTTTGATCCTAATAGGCTTTCGTAAGAAGAAAAGAAACTAACTGATATCTTTTTATTTTTTATGAATTATTATAACGGAGCAGAAACATATTATTTGTCAGTGTTTATATGTCTCTGATGAGAGTAATGAAGGCCCGTAGAACGCGGAGGGCGCAGGGGCCCCCACTTTTTTCTGAGTATAGTGCATGTATTTTGCTACAGTAAATTTTTCTTTAGATGCTGGATGCCCCCCCCCCCCCCCCACTTTTTGATGTAAGGCCGAGCACTGGCAAATTCGAGGACTTGGACAGTAAATTAGTTTTTTTTTTTTAATTTTGCTTCTCGGATAATTTTGGGAGTCCCCCCCCCCCAACACACACTTTTGGTCTTTTTTGCTGCTACGGGCCTGTAATGACTCATATTTAGCTATGTATAATATGTTTCATAACTAAATTTGATGCGATTTGCGGAAAATTTTGATTAAAATGGTTCATTGAACCTTATTCCCCAAGCACACAGAGAAAAATAATAATCGGGTTCGTGATACATAATATCTAAAATTAGAAAAAGGAATTCCAATTTCAACTGGGAAGCTTAGACGTTCCCAAAAATAGAATTGTCTAAATCGATGTAAAAGTAAATGAAGATCGTTTATTTGGATATTTTTAAATTTTATGGACATCAAATTCTGATAATATAATGAAGTGGATAAATTATTGTTTACAGACAACGACAAACTGAAGTTTAGCTCGAAATTTCTCTATCATTTGACCGATAAAGGTAAGTCATATACCATCACCATGTTCGTAATGATTCTGTAATGTGACCCTACCTTAACAGCTGCTTAGGAAAAATTGGCTTATCAATATGTAGATTCCTTTATCTCTTAGTTACTTATTGTCTCTTTTGTTTTAAAACAAGGACTTAGTTTTGACGCGTAACCAAGTCATTTGACAGTTTTACGACTCTTGCCAGAAATTGGAAACAGACATTGAATTCAAAAGTTGCACAGAACAGCTTAAGTACATTTATTATGAAAGATGTTAAGTTTATTATCCATTGATTTTCATGACCAAATGTCCTTAAGAAAACGTTTGCAAATCAATGTCCAAGTATATCTTTCTTAGGGTTAGGGCTAAAAGTGTTCAAATTAAATAGATAAAATCTGTGGAAACTTTATGATTTATTGATTGATTGTATGTTGTTTTATGTCCCGTTCGAGAATGTTTCACTCATATAGAGACATCACCATATACCGGTGAAGGGCTTCAAATTTGGACCTTTACTAGCCACTCAGGGCCATTGAGCAGTGAAGGTTCTTTATCGTGCCAATGCCTACCGTGACACAGGACTTCAGTTTTTAAGGTCTCATCCAAAAGACCCACAACTTTCACTTCAAAGTGCTGAGCACTTGGCGAAGGAACAGTTGCTACCTATTTTGTCTCGACTTAGGTCAGTGTCATCCGTGATTCGAACACATGACTTTCTGATCACAAAGCGGGTGCTCTACGGACTGACTACCGTGATGGTGGAAACTTTATGAAAATAAAATAAAAACAAATTGTGAATATCAATGTTTCTCCAAGTTCAAAATTCTATTTTTACAAGTCTAAGGAGTCATCCTTATTTAACATACTCTTCATGGTGGTGTTATGTATAACTAAAAGAAGATATTGATTTCCAAGTTTATAAGTGTGTTGCTTTCTTAATAGGAGTACATGTAAATTGTACATTTTGTATGTGTTAGATACTTAGACAGATGGATGACAAAGATAGAAGAACTCTCCAAGTAAACCGTACATACCTCGTGAAGAATATTGCCAATCCAGATGATATTGCAGAGGAATTGTTCTCCAATGAAATCTTCACAGAGGGAATGAAAGATGAAATAGAGGTACATATATCAGAGACACTTTTTTGTATTTAACATGGTGAAGTTTGAATTAAAATGTTGCATTATTAAAGGAACAAACAAGTAACTTTAAGTTTGACTTGCATTTAATTATTACATGCATATTCATAGCTATTGCATACCTGTCATCTCCCAGAAAAGCTTTAGGGGCACATGTCCCAACATTATGATTTGAAATACCTATAAGAGATTCAATGAAGATCAATTTGGCAGGTGAAAATGATTACCCACCATAGTATCTAACCTCCAACTTGTAAAAAAGAGGGTCAGGACCCTCGGTAAAATACCTGCACACAATTGATAGTTTCCATATGTCGTATTTTCTCTCCGAGTTATTTCTCTTGACCGCCATCTTGGTGGTCAACCTGGTAATTTTTCCTCTTTGTCTTAATTACCAAATTTAAGAGGGTGTAGCAGAAATATTTGAGGGAAAATCTTTATAGAATAAAAATAATGAAATAAAGGAGGCTTTAACAAATGTATATTTTTCAGAAAAACAATGCTTCCTACCCCACAATGGCCAGTATAAAAAGTTAAAGTTGGTTGAATAATGAAGGAATATGAGCATGTTGACCTCCAATATGGCAGCCAACGGGAAATAACTCATGCTAATTTGGACCTACTGAAAATATCTATTTATAACAGCATTCAGAACATGCATGTATTTACCATGATACCAGAAGTTTATGTACATACAACAGAAATGAGTGTATTGTTTTCTAATATTTTATTGGAAGCTTTAATTGTAACTTAATTACAGTGGATAATTTTGATTTTTTTTCAAGACTCTGTAGAAGGACAATTAAGTAATATTCAAAGAAACACACAAATTAATTAATTTTAGGCCTACATGATTAGAGGGCAGTTTAGTTCTAACCTGAAATCAGTATAAATTTTTTTATACATTATTGAAAGTCTTTTCAGAGTCATTGCTCTAAGGAAGAACAAGAAAAGTTTGAGCTAATTTAGAAAGTATATTAAATCTTGCTTTAAAGTACAGGTACATGTACATGTATCAGTGATTAGAGTTTTTATGCCAAAATTTGTTTTTATCTTCATCTACAAAGTGAGACAAAGCTGGCTAGCAAATGTTCTGTAAACTGTTTTTGTATCACTTTGACTTCCTCCTCCCCAGAAGTCTTAACTTCCCTAACAAAGTAATTTTCACAGATTCTTTGATAAATATAAACATAGATCATTTAATATATATAAAAAAAATAATAAAAATCTCTTTTTTTTATTGGTCTTTACCTTTCTGGCCTTGATCACGATATCTCTCGATCATTTCTAAGTGGAGTTTTAAATGTATGGAAAGATCTAGAAAAATAATCTTGTAAAAAGAGCAGGGTCACAATTAATTATAAACTATTATTATGTGAATTTTCCACATGCAGAGTAGATTCAAGTTTGTTAAAAACAATTGGCATCAGGGACTAGGTTAGGGCCAAAACTAGGGAATGAACTTTTAAAAAGAAATACTGTATCTGAGTTATTTCAAATTTAGCAGTTTTATGCAAATGGTAGGTATAAATTATTAGCATTATTAATTTTTAGCTATTTTAGAGACATATCTTTTATATATATTTCCCTTCAACAAAAATATACATGTATGTGACTGAATTATTAGCGACATTACTTTTATTTTTATTTAGTGTTGTTCAGATTATCACTTAAGGACAGATGATACAAACAAAATTTTATTAAAACTCTGAAAATAACAACTTAAGTCAAATTTATATAAGTAAAATGAATAAGTTTAAATGCGTAGATTTTGATATTTAATTCAAAGTTTCACAATAATGGGATTTGAAGTGACAAAAGTTGTATTGATTAATACGAATAATTGCAGAAAGGTAGAACTTTAAACATCATAGAAAGTTTACATTTTCTTAATATTTTAGAAATTTATTAGTTGCATTATTTACAACCAAAATAGGTCCAAAAATATATACCTATCCAGACATCCATTTTTTTGTATTCTGTCCTTAAATGCCAATAATGCAAAACAGTATATTTATATAGTTGACATCAGAATAAGAGAGTTGATTCGTAAATTTACTTCAATGCTGAATATACTGTAAATTTTATTCTGTTGATTTCATGGACTTTACACAATTATAGGACAACAGTAGGTTTCATGTATTTAAATTTTTAACTATAATCCTTGTAAAATTCTATGGGTATTACAAACTCGGACAGCAATTTTACTGATATAGTGAACTGATTTTGTATCTCCTAGAGGTTAAAAATCACAAAATTTATATCTTTTTTTAATGAATTTTCAAAGATATCAATTTTTTAAATAATGAACTGACATTATTTTTGTAAATATTTATTTTTAAATTCAATTCATCTGAAAACTTTTAAACTCCAGCAGAAAATTTTGTTTTTAATACTTCCCCAAACACATTTGACATTCAGACTTGAAGGAAAAAAAAATCTGTTGTGCAAAATCTGCTATATATACTCTAACAAATTCACAAATGCATCATATGGATATAAGGAATTACTGATATAGCAAAGTAAATTAGCAGGCTCCCAGGACTTTGTTATAACTGAGTTTTACTGTACCAGGTACAAATTCAGTTGATGACGTGTGAGTTTTGTGGCCCATGAGCCTTTTGTTTGAAACATGGTTGGTAGCACTATAAATGCACCTACTAAAGATGACACATCTAGTCAATACTGCATGGTCAAGGTATTAAAATGCATGCACTTACAATCGACCTGCTCCAAATATTCATCTGAAAATATAGGTCACATGACTCACATCAGCAGCCCAAGATGCAACATACATGCAAGACTGGATTATTGTAGGGTATTTTGTGTTGATGAGCAAGTACATTAAAAGTTTGAGAGTACTTTCGTTCTTCAGTATCCTCAGTTCTATTGATGTTAAAAGATGCATGGATAATGCCAGTAAGGATGTGCACAATTAAACATCATATCATGCTGCATTTGATATTTCTCTAATGAGAGGTAGAGACAAAATTTCTAAGTGAAGTTCATCCTCAAGTGATTATAAGCTAAACAATAATCAATTTTTTAATCTTTCATTGGAGAATACATTAAACAGCCTATCATGTTTCAGGGGCTGCATGTAAGCTACCTTTTTTCAACTGAAATATAAGGGTACAGCCTTTTAGCACTATTATATGCTTATATTAAGTACTTATTATTCAAACAATGGCAGATCTTACAAAATGTGAATTTTAATATGCATTATAATACCTTTTTAAGCATAAAATGTCTACTTCCAAAAAATAAAACAGAGTAAATGGCATGATTGATTTACATGTACAGAAGTTTAGAATGAAGTAATCCTAATTATTTATGTTACTGCTTCTCATTTTTTAATCATTAGAAAAAATGACCAACTAGAGTATCTGGTAGAATTTTTTTTTCACAGGTCTATTAGTCTGCCAGTTTCTCTATTTGTTAAACTTTACATTTGGAAATCCTTCTTAATTATACAAGATCACCACAATCATTTGCCTCTTCCAGAGGGATTGTTTTTCATATTTACATCAGTTCAAGAAAAAATACACTCACATATAAAAAATCAAAGTTTTTTTTTCTTAAAGGTGGAGAAACTTAGGGAGAAGAAAGTCAGAAAACTGCTGGACATTTTGCCAAGGCGAGGTCCAGAGGCATTTAAGATATTCCTGAATGTGCTAGTGGATACACAAAATAAACATGTGGCAGAGCACATAAATTCAGGACAAAAAGTGCCATTCGTTCCACACAATCAGCTTCATCATCGGGAGGAGGAAGAAGATCTACCTCAGAGTAAATTGATATTAACATTTTATCACCTCTAAAGTTTCTGTCTAGTTATTACACATTTTGTTTTACCAGGAAAAGGGTACAAAATAATTACAATCATTTTTCAAAGGGAAATAAAAGTGTATGTACCAGTACCTGTTGATCATAGGCACTTGAATGCCACCATGACCTTAAAAATTAAGACCTTGCAATTTTCACAATTCTTGAGATTATAAATAATCAATTTCTTCTCCAAAGATATTTATATTCACAGGAATTAAATTGAACATCATAATGTCATTAATATTTTACAAAAACAAATGTCTGCTTTTGCATTTTTAGGTCATCTGAGTCACTTTGGTGACCCATTCTGATCTGTTTTCATTCGTCACTGTCAGGCATGAGTCATCCATTAACATTTGAACATTTTCAGCTTCTTCTCTGGAATCGCTAAACCAGTTTCACTCAATCTTGGTATATAGCATCTATGGGCAAAGGGAGACAAAAAATGTTAATTGCATGGTCCTTGTCCCCCAGGGGCCTTCGGGGTGGGGCCAAAACCATCAAAATTAATGCAATCTTCAAAAATCTTCTTCTTTACTCCTGGATATTAAGCAGTCAAACTATAGTATGATTATAATAAACTTTGAGCCCTCTACCAAAATTGTGCAATTCATGGCCCCTGGGTCAGAGGTTCTGGTGCTAGGGCAGGACACTGTTGATCATATAGTGAAAATGCATGAAGTCTTTGAAATCTTCTCTGCTCGTGAATATTAAGTAGACAAACAAATGCATTGTTATGATTAGTAAGGGTGCCTATACATGTACTTAAATTGTGAAATTCATATGCATAGTCCCTGGGTCAGAGGTTCTGGTGCTAGGGTGGGGCTATATTGACAGTATGGTGCTAGGGTGGTGCTTTATTAATCATGAAGTGAAAATGCATGAATTCTTTAAGAATCATATCTGTTTCTGAGTATTTAGTACAGAAATAAATGCATGGTTATGATGGGCAAGGATGACTCTACTTAAATTGTGAAATTCATATGCATGGCCTCTGGGATAAAGGTTTTGGTATTAGGGTGAGACTCTTACTATTGAAATTATAGTGAAAATGCATTAATTCTTTAAACAATCTTCTTCTCCACATGTAAAGTTAGAAGACAAATTAAGTACATGGTTAAAATGAACAGGGCTCTAATACCTAAATTGTAAAATTCATAGCCTCTGGGTCAGAGGTTCTGGTGTTAGATTGGGACTTTATTGATCACATAATAAAAAGGCATTAATTACTTAACCCCCCCACCCCCCCCCACCCCCCCACCCCCCAGGTTGTTTATTTAGAACTTAAGACAAATAAAGTGCAGGGTTATGATGAGAAGAGTACCACTACTTGAATTGTGAAATTCATGGCCCCTGAGACAGGAGTTCTGCTGTTAGAGCAAGACTCTGTTGATCATAAAGTGAAAATGCATTAATTTTTAAAAAAAATTCTCTGCTCTTGGGCATTGTTCAGGTCAATCAAGTTTATAGTTGTAGTAAGCAAAGGCGTTACCCTACTTTAAGAAAAGTTATTTCCCTTTGATTATATTCACCTATAATAATTAACAGGGTTGTATTATACTCAGGTGACTGATAAGGCACTTGAGCCTCTTGTATTTTACAATTTTTATTTCCTTGTCAAATAGAAGTAGGCCTATGTGAAATTTAAGTTCTTTTATTTTTACATAGCATGGCCAGATCCTATAAGCTTAGAAGGACCATTGATTGTAAAACCGTGCTCAATAAATTCCACCCAGTTCCAGAGTAGCAGGGTAAGGAAGTCTAAGTTTACAGATGTTTACATTTCATGTAACACTGGTATGTATAAGACATGGAAGAAAAAAGAGATTTCTCATCCTTTTTACCATATACTTGTACATGTATAACATTATACATTTTCAGAGATATTTTTATTTTGCATGTGTACAGTTGTTTAATTTTTTTTGTATCATAAAATTTTTATTTATCAAGTGTGATTTATGATATATATTTCACAATTTTATTTTATTTACAAATATCAGTGTTATAAAATGGGTCGAAAGCCTCGAGGCAGAGTACTGGTTATCAACAACAAAATATTTTTTGGTCCACTGGAGAAAGATGATGTTGGTATGAAAAGAGTAACCCTGACAAACAGAGAGGGAACAGACAAGGATGAGGAGAAAATTAAAGAAGTGTTTGAGCAGATGAATTTTGTTGTGGATGTTTTCCTTGACAAGAAAGGAGAGGTGTGACAAAAATACAAGTCCAGATTTTTTAATGTAGCTTTTATCTTCTTTAAGGTCACCTGAGTCACTCAGATGACCTATTGCTATCTGTTTTCATCGATCGTCATGCATCATCCTTGGTGCATTAACATTTGGACATTTTCAGCTTCTTCTACAAACCAATTTCAACCAATGTTGGCATATAACATCTATTGATGAGGAGGAACAAAAATTGTGAATTTCATGGTCTCTGCCCCACTGGGGATGGGGCTAAAACCATCAAAACTAATGCAATCTTTAAAAATCTTCTTTACTCCTGGACATCAAGCAAGAAAACTGTTGGCATGATTGCAATGAGCATTGCATTCTCTACCAAAATTTTGAAATTCATGGCCCCAGGGTCAGGGGTTCTGGTGCTAGGGCGGGGCTATATAGACCATATAGTGAAAGCGTATTATTTCTTTGAAAATCTTGTTCTCTGCTACTGTGTGTCAAACAAACTAACAAACAGCATAGTTATGATGTCTCTTCCAAAATTATGAATTTCAAGGCCCCAGGGTCAGGGGTTCTGGTGCTAGAGTGGGCTCTATTGATTTTATATGATAAGGAAAAGTGCCTCTTCCAAAATTTATGGCCCCTGGTTAAGGGGTTCTGGTGTTAGGGCAGGGCTCTATTGATTATATAGTGAAAATGCATTATTCCTTTGAAAATCCTTTTCTCTGCTCCTGGGTATTATGTAAAGAAACTAAAAGCATGGTTATGATGAGCAAAGGTGCCTCTTGCTAAATTTTTGAATTTCATGGCCCCTGTGTCAAGGGTTCTGGTGTTAGGATAGGGCTCTATTGATTATATAGTGAAAATGTATTATTTCCTTGAAAATCGTCTTCTCTGCACCTGGTTATTATGTAAAGAAACTAAGTGCATAGTTATGATGAGCAAGGGTGTCTTTTTAAAAATTGTGAATTTCGTGGTCCCTGGGTAAGGGGTTCTGGTTTTAGGGCAGGGCTCTATTGATTATATAGTGAAAGTGCATTATTCCTTTGAAAATTCTCTTCTCTGCTCCTGGGTATTGTATAAAGAAACTAAGAGCATGGTTATGATGAGCCAGGGTGCCTCTTTCATAATTGTGAATTTCACGACCACTAGGTCAGGGATTCTGATGTTTGGGCAGGGATCAATTATATAGTGAAAATGCATTACTTCTTTGAAAATCTTCTCTGCTCCTGGTAAATATGTAAAGAAACTAAGTGCATAGTTATAATGAGCAAGGGTGTCTTTTCAAAAATTGTGAAATTCATGGCCTCAGGGTAGGGGTTTTGAGATAAGGGGGGAGCTCTTTTGATTATATAGTGAAAATGCATAATTTCTTTGAAATTGCTCCTGGGTGTCAAATAAACTAACAAAGAGCATAGTTATGATAAGCAAGGGTGTTTCTTCCAACTTGTGAATTTCAGGGTTCTATTGATTATATAGTGAAAATGCATTATTTCTTTGAAAATCTTCTTCTCTGCTCCTGGGTTTTATGTAAAAAAACTAAGTGCATAGTTATGATGAGCAAATGTGCCTCTTTCATAATTGTGAATTTCATGGCCCCAGGGGTTCTTGTGTTATGACGAGGATCTTTTGATTATATAGTAAAAATGAATAATTCCTTTGATAATTTTCCATGCTCTTGGGTATATAAAGAAACTTAGTGCATAGTTATGATGAGCTAGATTGTCTGTTCCAAAATTGTGAATTTCATGTCCCCTGGTTCAGGGGTTCTATTGAAAGTGGGTTGGGGGCTATTTTGACTATACAATGAAAATTAATAATTTCTTTAAAATTGCTCCTGGTTATAAGGCAAAGAGACCAAGTATAGTTATGATAAGCAAAGGTGTCTCTTCCAAATTGTGATTACATGACCCTGGGTAATGGGTTCTGGTGTTAGGGCAGGGCTGTGTTGAATCTTTAGTGAGAACGCATTATTTCTTTGAAAATCTTTTCGGCTCCCAGACATCTTCGAGGCAAACAGTAGAAGTTTTAGTAAGCAAGGGTACTTTTACCAGATTTTTGAAATTCTGGACCATTTGGTCAAGTATTGTATTCTCTGGTGCTGGTAAGAGTTTAAATAATTGTATTCTACTGAGAAAAGTCTTTCCCCTTTGCCAGTCACCTTTGATAATTAATCACTATAAATGTATTTGAAAAGATAATAGAATTAGAGAAGTATGCAAGAATTTTTATTGGATAATACAGAATCTTCTTCCATAGTTTTAATGATCAGGTAGACTTGTAAATAATACTTAAGAAATAAACAACGATGTTAAAAAGTTCTCTGGGAAATGAACTTGGTTGGTCACGTGATCAAATCCTGTGAAGCCCAAAGGGCTTCTCAGAAGATTTGATCACGTACCAACCAAGTTCATTTCCTAGTGAACTTTTTAACATTGTTGTTTATTACTTTTATTTACATTTGAGATGAATATTCCGAATAGAACTGCATTTATTATTATTATTACGGCCCGCCGTATTGCTATGTTGTGACGCGCAATGACCTAGAAGCTGTTTGGTCTTGAGAGTTCGCCTCGCTCCAACATTTGAATACTTACAATGATGTTCAGCAGTCCAGTTCAGGAATTATTTGTTCATAATGAAAAAAAAAAAACAATGATCGCTACCGGGAATAATCTTACTATTATTGTTTGAGTTCTTTATATATGAGGTCAAAAGCTGTGCTATCGTCTTCAGTATACATACCTTCAAAGGAATTTCGTGTTAAAAAGGTAAGCGTGATTTTAGGCTAATTAGAAACATTCTTCACACCGAAGAAAGATCTAATGGTCATTTGTTGAACGAAAAAAAAAAAATGTTTCAATGATTTTATTCTTTTCATCGCTTTAACGGCTTAGAAGTTCCGAAACCAGTGTCACTGTGACAGAAATATGCAGACAAGATATCGTCTCGCTGTGTGATTCGGTCACGCCATGACCTCTGACCCCCTAATAAGTTCATACAGAATTGAACATATTTTCACTTCAATAGGTTCATCTAAGAAAAATATTTGCAAATGTAAATAAATAAAAATGAGACAAAAATACCTGTATCTTATTTTATTAAATGTTCTTGGAAGACCAAGAGAGACCAATGTGAGAGGTTATAATTTGGGGTTTAAAATATTACTGAAGCACTATTGTTTTGTTTATAGTCTGCATGGCGATAATGATAAGTTGGGGCAAGTGGAACTTACTTTATGAGTTGTTACTGAGTACTAGACTTAGTCTAATTATTTCGTTATTAGTCTACTTATTTCATTGATTCTGATTATACTATTTCTCTTGCCTTTGGGCAACAAAGCTTCATCTAACAGTTTATTATATACTTCAGTTTATTATATACTTCTACAGATCCTCCAAGTTGTTGTATCTTACACTCAGGTGACTGTTAATGTCCTTGGGCCTCTTGTTTAGATGGCACAAATGTTTTACTGTGTGATTCTGATATAAAATGAACTTCTTATTTCATTTAGGACATAAAAGATATACTAAGACGTGAAGTAGAAAAGGATATTCATCGAACAGCAGATTGCTTTGTTCTGGTGATAATGACCCATGGGACCACAGGGGCTATCTATGGAGTAGATGGCAAAACTGTATCAGTTGAAGAAATCAAAAAACAGTTCAATGGTGAAAACTTTCCAGCTATGGCTGACAAACCAAAAGTCATACTTATCCAGGCTTGTAGGGGAGGTAGGGACTGTATACAATTAAAGTACATCACTGAGGGAGTAAGAAAGATTCCAGTTCTCCATGAGCAAGCTTATTTCTCGAGGCAAAGCCAGGAATAGGCTTACTCATGGGGAACTAGAATCTTGCTGACTTCTTCAACGACTTGCTTTAACTGTTTAACAATATCGATACAAATATTAGACAAGTTAACTCAAGATGCCATAATGATTTAAACAAGTTAACTCAAGATGCAGTAATAAATATTCATGATTTTAATTGAAACATATCAGAACTTTTCATAAGATTAAAAGAAATATTGCTAAGTCAGGGTTCTCCATGGGCAGTTTAACAGAAGAGGCCCCGCCACAGTTAATTTCCTTAGCGCCACAGTTAAAAAATCAGCGCCATAGTTCCAACACAGTTAAAATATTAGCGTCATGGTAAGATCGTCGTCATCAGTGAGGGACATATTTATATTTATAAATCAAAAGAACATCCAAATTATGTATTAGTGTTCAGTTTCTAATGCTAAACCGTTAATCTACTCTAATTAGGGCCCATTGTTTGGCTTGCACAATCGTTTATTTTCAAGACCTCGCTGGCCGTCATAATAGCTCATTCGGTAGAGTGCTCGCTCCATGATCGGAAGTTCGTGTGTGTTCGAATCGCGGCCGCAACTGACCTAAGTTGATAAAAAATAGGAAGCAACTGTTCCTTTGCCAAGTGCTCGGCACTTTGAAGTGAAAATTGCGGGTCCCGCGGATGACACCTTAAAAACCGAGGCCCCGTGTCACGGTAGGCGTTGGCACGATAAAGAACCCTCACTGCTCAATGGCCCTGAGTGGCGAGTAAAGGACTGAATTTGAAGACCTTCACCGGTATATGGTGGGGTCTCTATATGAGTGAAACATTCTCGAACGGGACATAAAACAACATACAATCAATCAATCTAGATCTCGCTGGACACATGAATGAAAAGAGACAAGACATTTTTTCACACTTCACAATAATTACAAATGAAATTTTTAATATCAATTAATTTATGCTTTAAAAGTTCTACAGGTAACCAAGTCCCTAAATTGCATTGGCACTGTGAGTCAAACATTGTACGAGTATAGTAATCGCATTTTTGTAATATTGAAAAATTAACAATACGAGTAGATCCAGCAAAATATATTTTCTGACTCTAAACTGCTTAAGTGTTTTTTTTTACGAGGGTTGTCCCAGAAAAATGCGAACTTTTTAAATATTTCATAAACTACCTGACCAAGCTTATTCATTTTTGGCGCAATGTTGGAAAAAGATATTTTCGTCATTTTGGCTAAATATTATAAGGTTGTAATGTTACCTGCATTTAGAAACAACATTTAAAGGGTGTTAAATATCCGTGGTTGGCGCACGGCAATTTCTTGACTTTCAAAAATTGCATTGACAGCAATGTTTTCTGTATTATCAGGCTATACGGAAATATAATGTGACCAAAATACTCTGACATATTAAAAATAAGAAAAATATGACGTTATATGCACAAACTCTATTAGTTAGATAATGTCAAAAACGGCGACGTCGGGCGATAATGCGGCGCCCCAAATTATCACTCGGTACTGTGTGGAGCGGGGTATAACCCCCCCCCCCCCGTTCATATGGGGAAAAGAGCTGGGAACCAGGAAACGACACAAATACATGTATTGAACACTGGTTTATACATAGTAAAAGAGGTTCAAAGATATCTATACTAGTTATCCGATGGAAGAAGCATTTAGTAGACATACAAAAATGATAACTGAAGACTCTAGAGCTGGACGTCATATGTGGAGACCACCGTTAACTATGCGAGCAGTTAGATTTATGATTGGAAAATTGTCTATATTAAAAGAATAAAATCCTTAATTTATTCTTAACTGTAGCATGTGTGAAATGGATAACTCGATAAGTACATGTAAAAGAAAATCAAATGCAGTATTGAATTTATGCTTTAAACAAATATTTTAAGATGCACGTTTCCTGAAAAAATTCAAAAACTCAACAGCTGATCAACGAGCTACGTTTTGACTTCGTCGGTTTTGAATGATTCGTTGATCAAAGATAAAAATGTTATTTATAGAGACATTTTATTGAAATTTCTGTGAATTATGTAAAAAAAAATGTTTATTGTGCATACCAATTTTTTACTTTATAAAATATAATAATGAAACAAAAAATATTGAAAATGTTCGCGTTTTTCTGAGACATCCCTCGTAATTCGCAAAATTTAAGATACTTCAGTCTTCAGATCAATAATTGTAAATACATGTATATAGATGTTAGCCTGATTGTGTGACATACATGTACCAGAATTTCCTTTAATGAAACACTGTAGGTGTATATTTTACCTTTTGTAAACAAAATTATTTAAAAAAAATAGGGTTAAATGCTTAAAACGTGTAATTACTGGTACTATTATTTTCAGATTCTATAAGGTAATATTTGTTTATTTATTAGTACGTATGTGTTGGGAGTGGGGGGTCTTTTTCACAGTATACATTTATTTTAGAAACATCCTAATTTTTGTTTTACACTATGCTTAATCGATATCTATTAATTGTTTTTAGTATTAAATTTATTAATCAATTTGCCAAATAATTAATACCTTTTGTGTATTGAACTATTGATTCATAGGGGTTGTGTGTTTTCTGGTTCCTTCGCGAATTTGGTCGTAAAATGACAGCGGATATTAGCACTTCGCTTCAAGAATAAACTGGTAGTTGTGAATAAAAATGATCTTTAATAAGGGTTCTAAATAATGATTTACTCTTAATATAAAGTGATTTTTAATCTCAACATATGTGCATATACATTGCAACCTGTTGTTGTTTTGTTTTTATTTTTTTTTTTTTCTTGTATTTTATTATCTGCTTTTTAGCTCACCTTAGCTTTCCAAGTGAGCTGAAATTTCTGATCATATTTTGTCTAGAGTCTATCTGTCTGTCTGTAAACTTTTCACATTTTCGATTTTTCTGGAACCACTGGGCTCAACCCAAGTTGCCATAAAGCATCTTTGGCTGTAGGGGATTTAAGTTTATTCAAATGAAGTGCAGCACCTTCTTTCAAGGAGAGATAATTAAGAAAAAGAAAATTTGGTGGCATCTTTTAAAAATCTTCTCAAGAACCTCTTGGTCAGAAAAATTGAAACTTATGTGAAACCTTTATTATATAGTGTTGATTCAATTTGTTCAAATCATGACCCTAGGGTTAGGGTGGAGGATCAAAGTTTAACATAGGAATTTCAATATGTAGGGGAAAAAAAATCTTTGAAAATCTTCTTCTCAAGAACCACGAAGCCATGATTAGTCATATTGATCTGGAATCATCCTCAGGTAGCGTAGATCAAGTTTCTTCAAATCATGACCCCCAAGGGTAGGGTGGGTCCACAAAGGAGGATAAAATTTTTATGAAAAAATATATAAAAATCTTTTAAACTATTCTTAAGGACAGCAAGGCATGATTAATCATATTGATATGGAAATATCCTCAGGTACTGTAGATTCAAGTCTGTTCAAATCATAACCTCTCTGGGGTAGGGTGATCCACGATGGGGGAGCAAAGTTTTACATATAAACAAGTCGGAAAAGATCTTTAAAAATGTTCTTCTCGAGAACAGCAATAGTCATTAGTCATATTGCTATGGAAGCATCCTCAGATAGTGTAGATTCCAGTTTGTTCAAATGATAACCCAGAGGGTTGGGTAGGGGTCACATCAATAAAAAAAATTTCAATAACAACAAAGTCAGAATTAAGTCATATGAATATGAAGCATCCTCAGAGAGTTTAGATTCAAGTTTGTTCAAATCATTACATTTGAGGGTAGGGTGAGGTCACATCAGGGAATCATATTTTTACATAGGAATATAAAGGAGTTAAAATCCACTGATGATGAACTGCAGGGCCATATTGACTCAGGTGAGCATTGTGGCCCATGTGTTTTGTTGTGCAATAATCAACACAAAGGACCATAAATGGCAGACTAACTAAAGCTTGACTCCAACAACTCTCCTAACTTATTGTCTGAATATTTATTGCATATATGTGTTGGTTATATATATATCTATATATATATATATATATATATATATATATATATATATATATATATATATATATATATATATATATATATATATATATATATATATATATATATATAATTTTGTGTGTTTGTATATATTTGTCCTTCTTTTCCAACTTGTATGAGAGTGGGAGTGAAAGGTGTATATGTTTTTGCAATAAAAATAAATAAAAAATAATTTCTTTAAATGATTGTCCTGGCTTTATTTACTAGATGATAGAGATCAAGGAGTAAGGGAAATCTCCAACACGGACGAGGAAATTAAGAAAGCAGAGCAGAAAATGAAAGATATGACCTTGAACTCTGAGACAGATTCCCACAGTGAGACTCTCACCCCAACAATGAGTCATATGGTTGTTGCAATGGCATCCACACTTGGTATCAAATTCTTTTCTTTTATGAATTAAATAAATGTTTAACAGTTAGATACACTTATTTAGTTAAAGATTTGTTAATGATATACATTTGATGGAATATTTGACTAAAATGTCTATTTTACTGATGTGAAAATTACAGGATTCAGCTAACATGGCTGATACCACATCAGGATTCAGCTAACATGGCTGATACCACATCAGGATTCAGCTAACATGGCTGATGTGGTATCTGTAGTTATACTGAAGTAAAATGACAACAAAGAATTAACTATTCATAGTCTAAACATTTTCTACAAAGAATGGAACTTCTCAGAATGGAACCTTTAGAAAAAGATGCTGCATCAACTACATAATAGCTGCTACTTAATCTGTAGTTGTCACTTTGCATTAATGATGCATTATTTTTCCAGGAATGGTTTCCTTCAGGAATAAGATTTATGGATCTTGGTTTCTACAAGCTGTAGCCTTTGTACTTGCTAAATATTCTTATAAAGATGATATTCTTCAGATCCTGACAAAGGTATTTTGATACATTTATATTCTGATATATATTTATATGTTGAATAATTTGAATCTCTTAGTTTATAAGGAACCTACATGTACACTCCATTTCCATGTATTCTGTATGAATCATCACTGATTATGATATGTGTGGCTGACACATACTTTTTTAAAATATGAATTGTAAGAGTAAAGTAAAGGGATACAAATTATCTGAATTTTAGAGACTATAATTGATCCTAAAATTAACTTTTAATTCATATTGAAAAATTAATTTTTAGCTCACCTGAGCCGAAGGCTCAAGTGAGCTTTTCTGATCACATTTTGTCCGTCGTCCTTCCGTCCGTCTGTCCATCTGTCTGTCCGTCTGTCTGTCTGTCTGTCCGTCCATCTGTAAACTTTTCACATTTTTGACTTCTTCTCAAGAACCACTGGGCCAATTTTGACCAAACTTGGTACAAAGCATCCTTGGGTGAAGGGGAATTTAAATTGTTAAAATGAAGGGCCAAGTCCCCTCACAAGGGGAGATAATCAAGAGAAGACAAAGTAGGGTGGGGTCATTAAAAAATCTTCTTCTCAAGAACCACAGGGCCAGTAAAGCTGAAACTTATATGGAAGCATCCTGGGGTAGTGTAGATTCTAAATTGTTCAAATCATGACCCCCGGGGGTAGGGCGGGGCCACAATGTGGAATCAATGTTTTACATAGAAATATATAGGAAAAATCTTTAAAAATCTTCTTCTCAAGAACCACAAGGCCAGAAAAGCTGAAACTAATGTGGAAGCATCCTGGGGTAGTGTAGATTCTAAATTTTTAAAATCATGACCCCCGGGGGTAGGGCGGGGCCACAATAGGGAATCCAAGTTTTACATTGAAATATATAGAAAAAATCTTTAAAAATCTTCTCAAGAACCATTGGGCCAGAAAAGCTGAAACTAATGTGGAAGCATCTTGGGGTAGTGAAGATTCTAAATTGTTAAAATCATGACCCCAGGGGGTAGGGCGGGGCCACAATGGGGAATCCAAGTTTTACATTGAAATATATAGAAAAAAATCTTTAAAAATCTTCTTCTCAAGAACCACTGGGCCAGAAAAGCTGAAACTAATGTGAAAGCATCTTGGGGTAGTGTAGATTCTAAATTTTTAAAATCATGACCCCCGGGGGTAGGGCGGGGCCACAATAGGGAATCCAAGTTTTACATTGAAATATATAGAAACAATCTTTAAAAATCTTCTTCTCAAGAACCACAGGGCCAGAAAAGCTGAAACTAATGTAGAAGTATCCTGGGGTAGTGTAGATATAAATTATTAAAAGCATGACCCCCAGGGGTAGGGCGGGGCCACAATAGGGAATCCAAGTTTTACATTGAAATATATAGAAAAAATCTTAAAAAATCTTCTTCTCAAGAACCACTGGGCCAGAAAAGCTGAAACTAATGTAGAAGTATTCTTGGGTAGTGTAGATTCTAAATTGTTAAAATCATGACCCCTGGGATAGGATGGGACCACAATAGGTGTATTACATGGGGGAAAGTCTGGTGAAGAACAGCAGAGCCAAAGTTACTCAGGTGAGCATTGTGGTCCATGGGCCTCTTGTTATATTGGGCATAATGTCTTCCAGGTAAATGAACTTGTGTCACGTGGGAGAGCAAAGGACAGTAGACAAAGAAAAGAATATGTCGCCATTTCTGAATTCAATTCCACCCTATCAAAAAGTCTGTATTTTTGTCCAGGTCTAGTCACAGAGGAAGTTCAAAGCAACAGAATTCAGCAAGCATCTAGCTGACATAGCTGAAATCTAAAGCACGTACTGACAATAACTGTTTTCTATGCATTTCTCCTTTGATTATAAACATGTATGATATACTGATATACGATACTGGAATCATAATTTTAAATTTAGAAAAAAATAGTGAATATGATTAAATATGATAATTATTGACTGGAAAATTATCAAACTTATTTTCAGGTTGTTGGAATTTAATAAGTACGAAATTTTATGTCGCCCAGTAAACCATAGTACATGTATATACCGGTAATAATCATTTATTTCAAACATCATACATTATTTGTCAAATTATATACAGAAACTTGTATGGATTATCATTTCTCAAAACATTAAGGGATAAAAGGGGCATCTTTTAGTATCTTGATGAAGGACTATGAACAAAATTAAAAAGGAAGGAGAGTATGAAATACATGAATAGCGTAATGATGGAATAGTTATTCAAACTCATATGATATATATAAAACGAACTATAAAAACTGGTTTACACCCAATCCAAATTATTAATCCCCTACGGGTGAAACTGGAGGGGACTATGGGTTTTCTCCGAGTCTGTCCGTCCGTCTGTCCCTCTGTCTGTCTGTCCCACTTGGTTTTCCGCACTTTTTTTTCTAAACGCTTGCAGATATTGAGCTGATTTTTGGTATGTGAGTGTATCTTGATGAGTTACAGATCAAGTTTGCATTTTGTTCCGCTTCAATTATTTTTGGCGGAATTACGACCTTTTCAATTTTTAAGGGTTTTCCGCAATTTTCTTCTAAACGCTTGCAGATATTGAGCTGATTTTTGGTATGTGACTTTATCTTGATGAGTTAGGGTAAGTCAGGGTAATTTCGACCACTGGTTAATTTCGACCACAGGAACACAACACCACACAAAGATCTACGGAAGTGTTGAGACAAGTTTAATTTATTCGGAATTATAGAAAACTATTCCTCAAATAGTGTTTCCTAGTATAATTATTCATCGCAAATATAGCTTGATCAGAGATATAAATAATATTTTTACTATTATTTATGTCTCCAGTTTGACGTTCGATGTCCACGTCTTCAGTGCGCTTGATTTGATCAAGGAAATGCAAGAGAGACAACTCGTACAACCTCTTTTTAAGTTTGACCTTGTTCAACAGTCCACAGCACGAATTAAATTAAAATTGTTTTATTTTCTCTTGGAATATCTTTAAGTTGCAGAATTTTACAAATTTATCTTGGATTTCTCTCAAAATGCACAAGAAACGTCCATATGATTTTGGTCGAAATTACCCCTACTGATTTTAAGGACGCGGGGTAAATTCGACCACTTATTCTGAAATATGTGTAAGTTGTCTTTAACAGCTGTTTAATGCAATGCAGAGTTAGATCTTCCAAAAAAAAATTATTATACTGTATATTTACAATATTAACTACATATAACCTTTTATATTTAAAAAAAGTCGGCACTGGCTTTGAAATAGAGCAATCCATAAGATTCCAAACCCGTCAAATTAACAAAAGAGAGGATGCAGGCAATATTGAATATATGTAAAAAAAAAAAAAAAAAAAAAAAAAAAAAAAAAAAATTTAAAAAAAATTTAAAAATCAGGTTTTTGTAATTTTTTCTCATATTACGAATGCGTTTGACGGACAAGACTGAGACTATCGAAAACCAACGAACCAGTCGTATTAAGATCGTATCACACAGTCCAGGTACACAAATCCAAATAGTACCCAAAATATCAGAACAACACACCAAAAGAACCGCAACAATCTTGAAACACAAAAAATAATAATAATAAAAAAAAAAAACACTATGATGTTACACGAAATAAATGATTTGTTTGAGTTTTTTTTAAGGGGGGGGGGGGGTCAGAGGACTTTGCTTCTGTAAATCTTTATTTAATTGACTTGATCGAATATCTCAGGATCTATCTCTTTTAAGAATTAAAAAAAAACACGTAAAATACGTAAAACAACGCATTCCAAATGATTGTGTATATGGTAAAAATTAGTGAAGAAAAATGTACGCAATTCGAATGCTATGCTAAAGCCTTATACATGTATACAATTTGAATGATTCTGTTGTAAAAAAACGATATTAAATGAAATCCCTTTTGGGTTGAACAATTTAAAAATCATAACAAAGAAATTATTTGTGGAATCTGAGAATCTGAGAAAATTTCATCTATTTGCATAACTTTATAACACAATTTTAAAATGTAGAGTTAGCGAATTAAAAGCAGAATTTAGAATAAAGAATAAGAATTAAGATGTCTATAAGACAACATTGAAAAGCTTAAGTAACCCAACCCAATTCTTTAATGTATGGATACTAGTACTTAACCATTTTAATCTTTTTGTTGAGAGAGATAGATACACGTATTTTCTAAATAAGGCAATATAGTTTCTCGGACCATAAATTTTGAATAAAATGCGACAGGTAAAGTTAACATGCATTGCAAGAGTTATCTTTCTTTTTGATGTTTGTTGTGGTCGAAATTACCCCGAGGCCGGTCGAAATTAACCCATGCAACATGCTTACTTATTTTTAAACCAATTCATTATTTTTTATGCATTTTTAAGTCCTAAAGCAAAAAAATATGAATAAAAAATCATTGTCAATTACTTTAATTTTTTTTTTAAACTAGTACATTTGAAAACAGTCGTGTTTTGTGGACTGAAAGCCACAAATCAGCAAAAGTGGTCGAAATTACCCCAGTCTACCCTATAGATCAAGTTTGCATTTCACTCCGCTTCATTGATTTTTGACGGAATTATGGCATTTTTAATTTTTAGGGGGAACCAGGTTACACTTATGGGTAGGAGACTATAGTATTGCTAATGCAATGCTCTCAGAATGCTTGTTATATAAGCACTACAGAAACAGACTTTACACGTCATAAGGAAAGGAGAAGTCGATGAGAGGTACTCAAATCCTGAGAATAAATGCTGACTCATGACAGAGCATTATATACACAGAAATAAACACTTACATCAACAGCCGATCAATACAGAGAAACATAGGATCTCCCATAGTTTGTGGTTGGATATACTATTTTGTCTGAGTTGTGTGTTTTCTATCCCAAAGCCCTTTTAAAAAAAAAAAGGCATGCAACAAGTTGGATAAAATCATATCATCCATTAACAATGGGCGATTCTTTTTTCACAGTTTAAACTTAGCTATCACATGTATTACATTATTAGTCCCCTACCGGTGAAACCGGAGGGGACTATAGGTTTCCTCTGAGTCTGTCCGTCCGTCTGTCTGTCTTCTTAACGGGAACCAGATTACACTTGCCGGTAGGAGACTAGTATTGCTAATTAATGCAATACTCTCAGAATGATTGTTTTTATATATCAATGACTGTGTACTGTGTTTGTCAAAATTTGGACAATATACAAGAATAATTTGTGTAAATATTAGTACATTATGTTTATTAAACCAGGGACCTAGATACTAATATATTTATAGGTCCCTGATTAAACAAATTAAGTCTCTTGAATAAAGTCCCTATAAATCCTGTATACTTACATGTTACAATAATATATTGTTTATGTGCTTGAATATGAAACACATATACTTTTAATGTTATGGGTAATATTGTCCATTACTGAATGGCATCACATTTATCTTCATTGTACAAACTACATTTTTCATATTTTCTGATTTATTTTATTAATTTTCCAGCTGTCCTATTTTGCTACAGAACATAATCTGTATTTTGTAATAAATTGAAAATAAATATATTTCCAACTAGAATTGGACTGACTTGTGAAACTAGTTTTGTCTGACACGTTTCATACTATTTGTTATGTCATGTTGTTTTTAAACAATGGAGCACTCTATGTAACTAATATCTTTAAAAATCTAAAAAAATGTAGGGCCCGTGTCACGCCAGGCGTTGGCACGATAAAGATTTCTCACTGCTCAATGGCCCCGAGTGGCGAGTAAAGGTCTACATATGAAGCCCTTCACCGGTATGTGGTGACGTCTCTATATGAATGAAAAATTCTCGAATGGGACGTAAAACAAAACACAATCAATAAATAACGTTCGAGAATTTTTCACTCATATAGAGACGTCACCCTATACGGCGAGGACCTTTACAGTCGGCACTCGGGCTATTGAGCAATGAGGGACCTTTATCATGCCAATACCTGCAGTGACACGGGGTCTTGGTTTTTAGGTCTCATCGGAAAGACCCACAACTTTCGCTTCTAAGTGCCAAGCGCGTGGAAGGAACAATTGCTGCCTATTTTTAACGACTTACGTCAGCCGCGGCCTGGGATTTTAAGGACATACGCAACATAGTTTGAACTTTATTGTCTTTTTCCTTGGAGTTGAGTTCCAATACTTAAAGGAACTGTGTGCTAAATTTTAATGTCTGTATATGTTATTGTACACTTCTTTTAAAACAAGTTTGGATAAACAAAACATCTAGAATATATGTTTAGTAATTTTTGTATATTTTTCTTTGAATTATACAAGAATTTTCATCAATTGATATCTATTCAAAACTCCTGGTAATGTATGCTGATTTTTTGTCTACGAACATCTGATAGCACTATAATCTTAAATTAAGAATATCTCGAAAAAGTATCAGTAGGTAAGGTACGTTGCGTATGTCCTTAAACCCACGACCATCCTACCGTGGAGCGAGCATTATACCAAATGAGCTACCGTGACGGTCAGTGCATGTACAATCAAATATTTAAACAATCATGAAGAAAAAATGTGGCAATTTTAGGCTTAAGGTGGACAAAATTCAAGGCCATATCCGTCGATATTTAAATGTTCCAACCATATAATTTTTTTTTTTACATTTTTCTCGATTGGAAAGGGGTACGACTGTTCGTTTGAACAATTTGAATCCCCTCCCCTAAAAAAGATGTGCCAACTTTGATTTTAATTGATTCAATGGCTCAAGAGAAGTCGAAAATGTGTAGGATGGATGGACAGATAGACAGTCAGGCAGTCGTCGGACAACAGTGAGAAGCTCGCTTGAGCTTATAGCTCAGCTGAGCTGAAAAATATTCAAAAGAAAGGTTCTTTATTTAATAAATAAATTTATAGGCATGTATTTTTTTTAAACATATTCATTGCAGAATTTTTCCACACCAAAAATCGTCTATCAATTCTAGTAAAGGTAATTGATGGTAAGTGCAGACATATTACATTTTTGTTAATACCGATTTTAAAATTACGTACGCTATCTTCTGATCAAATTCGGTCAAGATACTGCCAACGTATTTCCTCTAGAGTTCAGGCCGAAGGTTATCAGGAGGATTGCGATTGTATTATATATATAACGCTGGAAAACGTTACTTCTTTGGAAGCTGGGTTACCTTGAACATGAAAGCAATCTTTCTTGTTTGCCTTGCCTGTGTAATCGGTAGGTAACAAAAGACTCGATGTTGTTTTTTTTTTTCATTCCAAACGTTTTTCAAAAGAAAAATATATCATAAACCATGTAACGTTAATGTTTAAAATAATTTTATGTTTCTTGATGTCAAAATAAATATATTGATAATAGTTTTTCTCAAGTCAAAAATCAATTTTAATTATAATCATTTTAACTCCTTTTTTTTAAAATAATTTTCTATTTTGCATTATACTTTGCTACAATTAAAAAAAAAATCATCAATGTTACTTTAAATCTGTAAGTTAAAAAGTTATTTGCTACCGTAGGTAGAGCTACAAAGAAAATATATACATGTAATATTTGACACAGCAGTTCAATATAACATTATTAAACCTGACGACCTTAACAATTTCCAAGTAATTTACAATTCGATTTATCTTTAAATTTCACATCCAAAAAATCTCAATATTT